GCAGCAATCGTAAAATACGAAGCATTCTTTGCTAGTAGTCTTAGCGAATACTTAGAAAAACCGTCCGCACAAGGGACACAATTTAATAAATGCAAAGGTTAATAAACAGTGGTTATGAGATTTTAAATTATGAGCTTTCCCTGATCTTAAAAAAGTATTTCATGACAAATATATAGTGCCCCACAAAAGAAAGCAATTTCAATGGTGACAAAATACAGCAATGAAAGACAAAATGTTAAGTAAACGGATTAGATTTAAATCCATTTTAATTTAGAAGAAGAATAATGAGTCCACGTGTAAATTTTGCTTTACAACAAATTTTTGCACTAAATAAGAGAAGCTGAAGTTTTAATATTAGCAAAAAATTTATGGAAGTAATTTTTATTAATTGTAAAAAGAATAAAATCGATTTACAATTGATGACATAATTATGTATCATCCTGCTTATGGAAATCGCATAGAAATCCTTACTAATATTGTAACTGTGAAAGCGAGTTTGTTATCTTACAGCTTAAAGAAATTTAGTAAAACACTATATGGGATGGAAAAGGATATATATTTTTTATTCCAGTCCGTAAATATATCCCGGTCACGCGGGTATAAGCTAGTATAAATATAACATGTATACGTTTTATCGACAGAGTTATTGCTGGTCATACGAACGCCTAGTAAATAAGAAGAAAATCTAAACATACTTATAATACTTGAAAAATATAAAGTGCACGAAAAATGTAGGTTGCTCTTTTCGCACTGTATGCACAAAATTTAAATGTCAGCATAGACTATTGTAACATCGATGGCGCAGTGTAAAGTTCATTCTTAACAGTCACTTGATAAATTGCTCACCAAGAATCGAATAATGAAATTTATTATAACTTTTTTTTTATACAACTTAGAATGGCAAACAAGCTGACGGCCCACCTGATGGAAAGTGGTAACCGTCGCCTATAGACATGAACGGTACCATGGACATAACAGAGTGTATTGTTTCGCCCATGATACCCCCCATGCGTTGCCATTCCTGAGGACTCAGGTGTTATTCCTCTGTACCCAGTAAATTCACGCCATATCCCACCTTTCAAACCGAAACACAGCTATGCAAACATAACTGCTTCACGGTTGAAACACGAATGGGACAGAGGTACCCAAGCAATTGACTTTTGTACAAAGTCTCCCTCTGTAACTATACTTGTACTATTTATATATATATACAAATATAATTTTTATTTTTGCCAAGCTATCTAGCATTCCAAATTCTCACTTAAAATGGGAGCAACCAAAATCTCACATCAACTTTTTGTAATGTGTGCACGATGAGATATCAGTGTTATACACCGTGTTCATTAACGAAATCCATATCTTAAAACTAGTGTTAGTGTTTATTAATAGGGTTTCAAAAAAAAAACTCTTTTTCTTAAGAATAAAAAACTAAAAAAGTAAATAACAATTCTCTAAATTCTATAAAGAATGGATTATATAGCTTTCTTATTTAATGAGGGACAAAAAAGGCAGGGACATATTTCTTTCATTCTCACCAAGGAGGAGATTCGACATTAACACTTTATCAATTCATTTATTTTACAAATATATATTTTCTTTATTAATTGTATCAGGTACCATATTTACCAAGTTGTCTAGAAATCAACCGGTAGAATATTATTTATGGTCATCTTTTAAACATGACTTATTAAGAAAACTAGAAAACATTTATGTATCACGTCAAAACTACTGGTCGCGATTGTGTGCATTAATTAACGATTCCAAGGATTCTTGAAAGGATGACTAAACCCTGAGAACACTGCAATGTGGTTGTCACATTATCTACCTATCGATCAGTGTTATATGTAGATGAGTATTAACTGACTGTTTATATGTAACTTTACTTAAAATTTATTATAAGATATTTTTAATTTCACCGCTGATAAACTATTGAATACAGTAGATAGTAAATATTGATCATGAACATGCCATGAATCACCACAAACTTGACTCATTGTCCGTGGTGCTTGTCACACCCGAGAGCTAAAGTCTAAGATATTGCATTGGTCATTCCCCTCATCCGAAACGCATGCGCACTCTTTAGGAGCGAAATAGGAAAAATCGTAAAACATATTCCAGGCTATACAATAATGTTGAATAAAAATAAATCAATATGTCAATGTATTTAGAAAAATAAGTAAAAATTGAAAGCCTGCGCTTTTAAAAGACTGTTGAAAATAAAAACCACTAAACATGTCTAACTAAAATACCCTTGTGAAGTCATAGACGATTCGTGTGAAGATAGCACTCTCTGGGATCAACAGTTAGTTCGTTGGCGCGCTACTTTATGTTAACTTATAGTAAATACTAACCCGGGGTGTAATAAACTTGTTAGGTAACACGTAATCGGTTATTGCAATTCTAGTGAAAGGCTCTATTTACTTTGCCAACACATCGACTTAGCTAAAGTACAGCTAAGGTTAGGTACATTGGTAATTATTTAATTAAAAGCGCCTACCCTGGTGAAAGTAACACTATGAACTAGAACGGTAGCGTAGAACAGACTGTTATCATTATGTGAAGAAGTGAGTTATCGAAAGAACTATGCTCAAAGATTCACGGCGTAACAGAATCCGAAACATGAATACCCGCTAAAGGACTATAATGTGAAAGATTAGTGTGGAGTGATAATGGCCAGGTTACATAACTTAACCAACCGATAACTAATGGGGAAAATAAAATTCATGAGTGGCCAGGCCACTCCGTATAGCAAGTTCAATATGATGAATGTAAGTGGCTTAAAAACATACGTAGGTTTTGTACTAAATATGAGGAAATCTTGGTTTCGCAATGAAAATTGGCCGATTGAAATAATGATGTTAATATAAAATTTAATTTCTAAAGTTTCGTGAAATTTCGAATTAGTGGTCTACGAGAGCCACTTTTAAAGCAGGAAATCATTTATTGGAGACGTTCTTTGACCGTAATGAAAATAATTTTTAATTATATTTATCCATACGAAGCCATAACTAGTCAGCAACTAATATGAACATAGGCATATGAAATGGATATACATAAATACAACAATTATACATACTTTGTGTATGATTTTTTTAACAGACGAGTAGATACTAGCTACCTACTTTTGAACATACCATATAATATACGTTTCTTTACCCATCCTAAAAATGGAGATTCAGTAAGAAAATAGTAATTGTCGTTAAATGCGAGTTAAGGTGGAAAATCATTGTTCACAATTGTTTAAAAGGTGCTCTAGTTATTACTGTGAGAGACCGTTAGATATGCTCTATATGCTCTTGTTCTTTTGTTTCAAATAAAGAAATAAGAGCCAAATTTTAGAAAAAATTAAAACAGCCTGGGTGCATACCCCGCATAATATATTTATTCACACGAGTAAGCATGTAATATTGTATATTGCCAGTTGTCAGTGTGTCCCGTACCCCGGGGTGGAGAATAGAGAAATATCCACAAACGCGAGAAGTGCGTTTGTGGTTTATTAGCTGCCTCAATGGATGCAATTACTGTAGGGTCATTTATTTAGGTAACTACATATTATTATTGCAAGTCCACCTACAGCATTTTTTGGATCACCTATTTATTTTAATGGATGATAATGGAATGGTAACCCCGTCTGCGCTATCATTATACACTGGCGGGGTACCAGTGAGGGATGACTGATGAGGATGAAGCAGGTCAGTTGGCCTATCAAAAATTAACCACGATGGTTTCCAGGGGAAACCGCTTGAAGTTGGACCTATTAGTGTATATTACTAGCAATGACCTTCTCAGATCTCATTAGTAACAATCCCTTTCCCGCCCGGATTACCTATTAAAAGAAAAATTAATAAAGTTAATTTTCAAATTGAATTCTATGGTGCACGTGAAAACAAGCTCTTTTATAGTCTTCATATCAGACGTTATTCATCCACTGCTGAACACAGGCCTTCACCAAAGACTGCCACAAGGAACGGCACTGAGCCACCTGCACCTTTTGTGGTCTTAATGGAATAGTAAACTCGCCTTCATTATCGCTGGCGAGGCACCAGTGAGGGACCATGAGTCAGGATGAAAGCAGGTCAGTGGGCCCATCGTAACGAATTCATACATAGTTAACCACGACGGTTTCTCCAGGGGAGGGAAGAGCGTGGAAGTGGAACTGACAGAGACAGTAAAGAGATGGCTCAAGTAATTCTCGGATTTCCCCCATCGTAACGAATTCACCAGAAAAAACCACTCTAATTAATTTTAAACTTTCGCGTTGTTTATGCATATTTTAAATACGAAACGTCGGCAAGAAGAAGCAGGTATGTAAGTACTATTTACCTGCAAAGGTTTTTTCATCGCGTTAAGTCCCGACTGTATATTTAAAAACCACGACGTTTTCCAGAAGGGATTATTCCTAACAATACTCTCTCCCCTAAAATGTACTTTTTACGAACTCTATTTTTAAGTACTCGGTAAATCTCGATATACGTCAATTTAATTAACGTTGATTTCTAGATCCGACACATAATGTTCATAATGTTGACGTGGCCAGACCTTAGGTATTTTCCTAGATTTTTATTTTTTCATTCATTCCTAGAAGTTTATTTATGAAAGATATAAATTAATAATTAACGTTGAACCTATACAAGTAGTTAGAAAAAACAGGTAATGAAACAAATAAAAACGAACTTCAATAATAATTAGGGTCGGTAACGCGCGCGTGATATCCCTAGTATTACAGGCGTCCACAGGCTACGGTAACCCCGTTACTATCAGACAGGCCGTATGCTAGTTTGCCACCATAGTAATAAAAATAAAAATTTCATTTTCATAGAAGTATGTAGAGCTAAAGTGTATCGCTCATAAAGACCTAAGGGTATCCACTAAGCATAGGGGACTTGTAATGTACATAAGTAAGTACTGTAGCTACTGTAAGCCCATTCATAAGTTGGTAGGCATATAAAATTAAAATTAGTATCTACATGCAAAAATTTGCCTGCCTTTACAACACTTACCTTTGACTTTTGGCTGGGTTCGGTGAGACATAGAAGACAAAACTTTCAATACAAACAACGGAAAGATCACTTTAAACACATATAGGTAGGTACCTACCTATGTCGAAGACATAAAATCAGGTTTTGTGTTACCGCTATGCACTTACGGATAGAATAAAATGCGCACTTAGTTCAAACTTCACACTGTGTTCTCAAAAATTCAAGATGTTTTAAATACACGATGTTGTACATGTTTAAAATATAATATATATTAAAGTTCGTTTTACGGAGTTCGTTCGATCGTTGTCGTTAAACCGGTAGTTCGGAGACGGCGAGTCACAACACCAACCTCTTATTCGTTCACTAATCGACTGTCTATCTCTCTCATACATGATTTCATTTCATACATATATTCGGTAGTGTTGCCAACTTGATATCGATATATCAGACTAAATCAAAAGCTCCAATTTTTATGATTGCACCAAAATAAACCTAATCGCCTACTATCTATATATTCTGAATTCTGAAATGAATCAATTCTGAATATAGCATGTTTAATATAATTTAATGATTCAATACAATCATTAAATTAATTTAAGAAATAAATTATTATCTGTGCTTGAAAACTTTGATGAAATGTCTTCAAATCGCAAAGAATTTAAATACTTTCGTAATTAGATGCTTACTAATACAATAAACATATTTTTGCATAAGTTTTTATATGGAGACAATCATTTTTAGGAATAAATTTCTATAATACATATTCATTTTCAAAGGGTCTATGTTTCCTGATAAACATAACTCTGAGAATTAATCGCCCTTAATTTTTTTATTATTACATTGGCAACATTAAATTTTTATGATTTCTTAAAAATTTTAGAACACGGTACATCTTATGGTCCAATTTCGTCCATCTATTCCGTGTAGCTAACACTATTCTATTATATTCAATGGGTGATTTGCTAAAGAGGTCGATACAAATGGAAAAGAGGGCAATAAAACATCAAAGGGGTGAAGCGAAACGCCTAATAAGGGGAAATAAAAATGATTATGAGATGAAAAATTTTGTCCTTTATGGTTATCAAATTTGTTTTCCTCAACATGATAACACAAATGAGAAAATTATTTTGTGTATAACTTTTTTTACTTTAGGTACTTCGTTTCATTTTATATATTGTTACTCTGATAAAGCCAAGAATACGCATACGTTTAATACCAAATATAAGATTACATTATCGGGACTTAACACAAAATAGTTGCAGGTCAATATCACTTACATACATACCTAATTTTTATTGCCGACGTTGATAGCACTATGTCGTAAACGACAGGACTGAAGTGAGGTCGGCCATAAAAACATACAAACTCTCGGAATATTTCCAAAATGCCTGTTATTCCTGTGAAAGTATGTTTAAACATGTTCCTGTACGAAACTTATAAAGCAAACGTAATCTTAGACCACCGATGAGTTAAAAATCTTACTATAGATTTTATTTTTAAGTGAATTTTAAAAATATTCCTAATTAAAATGCCAAAATTGTTCTAGTACTGAAGTTAGTGATTAACTTAATATAGTTTGATACATTTATCGATATAAAACCCTACCTAAACATAGGTTCAGAGAATACGTAAATTTCAAATTATTCATTTGGGAAATATAATGAAGAATTCTATTAATAAGCATTTTGTAGTCATTGTTGCGCGAGCGATGGTACCCAATTTTTATTGATATCGAATCATTGTCATCAAATTTCTAGGTTGAAATATTGTATCAAGTGACGTCTGTCATATGACAGAAAAGCGGCGACAACCGGTCTGTATACACCGTCCATTATTATCAATCTCCTCTATGTACAGATATCTATCATCTATGGACAAATCTAGCTAAGGTTTCTATTACCCCTCTCTTTTTGGTATTCACATCAACCAAGAGGTGAATAGAAAATTAACACATTTTGAATGTTTTCAAGAAAACCAGCCGATTTAGAGTGATTCAGAGCAGTGCAGAGGCAGTAGGATTTGGTATTAAATAAAAGAGTAGGCTTCTTATAATGCAACGTAATTATTAGGTTACAGACACACTCCGTGATTATAGTTTGGCCAGTGAGTTTTGTCACTAATTATTTTTGGAAACTTTCAAGTTGGCAATATTATTATTCTGTCAATCTAAATGTCACTGATTCCCTTTTATATGTAGTCACTTATAGACAGCATGGTCTCCGACCTTAGCCTGTTCCACAACGGAACAAACATACTAAAATAAAAAATGTAGTCAGTTATTTTTCTTCCTAATTTTGGATTTAAAACGTTTAAACCTATTAAAAGTAGTATTCGTGGCATGTTATTTGCTATAATTAAGAATTATGATCGGTTAAAAAGTGACATGGAGCAAGTACTTGTGGAAAAGCAACGGATTTTCGAAGAAATTGTTTCGTTAGCAGGTATGACACTCAAAAGATTTTGATACTTTACTGGCTTTTTAGCGGTCATAAGAATATTTATGTGTGAAATGTAACAGCTTTTAGGCGATTTTTATGTGCATTTCATTTATTTGTTTCCAGATGGTTTACACGATGAACCTAAACAAAAAATTAAGGATTTAATTCAAGATCTGAAAAATATTGACAATAATGATATCCACCATGAAAAAGTATATCTGGAAAGAATCTCCAATATAATAGGCGCCTACATATTAACAAAGCAAATGTTTTATGGTAAACCATTCTTGTAAAATTTAATATTACAATTATTATTTTCTTGTTTTCCAGAAGTATCTGTAAGAACAAAAAAAAGAATCAAAAGGAGGGTGCTGTCAACAAAGGTGTGTGTGTCACTCAAAGTGATAGTAGTGATTATGACGATTAATGCATTGAATTTCTTGATTGATTTTTATTATAAATCTGCATAATTATATAATATTTTTAAATAATTTCATGTTTTTATTTCCTTTTATATTTCATATAGTTTTTTAGTTAACAGGATAAAGATATAACTATAAGAAATAAATACATGCCTTTGAGAATAATGATACAAGTATCAAAAAAGTATAATGCAGCATTTTCAGTAATACCATCACATATTTTTTTTAATTTGTCGCGGTTTCGAGGGGACACGACTCGCTGGTCAGACTATACAACAGTGTTACCATAGACAGTACATCAAAAGGAACTAACATAGAGTGCTAATAGTTTTTAGATAAAGTGCTACTACATTTACAACTTAACATTTAGTCTACATCTACACTAATATTATAAAGAGGAAAAAATTGTATTTTTCTGTGTATGTATGTTTGTAATGAATAAACTCAAAAACTACTTTGCCGATTTCAAAAATTCTTTCACCTATGTTTCAATTTATGTAGGTTACTTTTTGAATTGTTCAATTCGGCTATTCCATTCTATACATATTACGAATTTAATAAGTCATAGAAATAAAAAAAATTACGCTGTCGCGTTGTACATGTTATTCATACCTATTTATTAATCCTTATCCAAATAAATTACTTTTATTTTAAAATTATATTTTGATGTAGTCTTATTTATAGATATTGAAATACCTGCAGATTACTTTTGATTTTTTTAAATCGTAGGTAAATGTACCTACGATTCGAAAGATATGTTAAAAAATGTAAAATGTTGTAAAAATGTCCAACCGTGTGAAGCCGGAACGGGCCGCTAGTTAATAATTAATAGCCAGACCTTGAACAATGTTCAGATAGTTGGAACATTGTTATTGCAATGAAAAAATACACCTTGGCGAATCGTAGCCATCTTGAATAGGCGCCATGACAGTTAGAGTTATGACACCATTTCAAAAATATCGCTTTTTACTTACATATATATTTAAAAACTGTATTTGATTTACTTACAAATACAGTTTTTAAATATTGAAATAATTAATATGTGTTTTGATAAATTACGTGGTAATAAATAAAAATATGAATAATTTTTGTGTTCCGTGTGGTATGATACAAAGATTACCAGAGAGAGACTTTGTACAAAAGGCGTTTGCTTGAGCACCTCTATTCGTGTGTTTCCTCTATCTATAGTGTTTCTACCGTGAAGCAGATATGTTTGCATTTCTGTGTTTCAGTTTGAAGGGTAGGATATGACAATGAATTTACAGAGTATAGAGAAATAACACCTAAGTCTGCAGGAATAACGAGGCATAAAGGTATCATGAGCGAAACAGTATACTCTGTTATCAGATATAGAGGATGGATACAGAGGTACCCAAGCAAAGTACATGTAAAGTACACTGTTATACTTTTTTCGGGATTACGCCATCGACGAAACCATTCGCTCAATACGTTTACAGTTTTTTTTTGTAGCCGAGCGGTGACGATGTTGCGTGCCAGAGCGCGAGTAAAGGGGACGTGTCGTCTGCGAAGAGTAATAATTCAACCTTTAAGTTGGGGAATCAAGGAATGTCATTAGTGTTTAGCAAGTACAATAACGGGGAGAGGATGGCGCCTTAAAGGACGCCGGCTCGTATCGAGCGCAGGTTGAATTCGTGGTCAGGTTGAAATGGTTGACTCCGCGGATGACCACGCGAAATCTTGTTTCCTCCTCAAAAGCATAGATGTGGTAATTTATGCTTCCATTTTGGAAGAAAGAGGTGAGTAGATGATGATTGCCTGCGGTAGAAAGCGTCATTTTGATCTCTGATCTTGAAGTTAGTGCGCTTTTCCTTTAACATAATCGAGATTTTTTTTTACAACACAGGGGGCAAACGAGCATGCGGCTCACCTGATGGTAAGTGACTACCGCCGCCCATGGTCACCCACAACACCTACGGCATTGTAGGTGTGCTGCCGGCCGTTCTAGGCTCAATAGGTAAATAGAATTAAATTCTTATTGAAAAGAATCTACCTCATTTTGAAAACGTACAATTTTTTCACTAAAAAATGACATGAATTGTTAAAAAAAATGTGAGTAATTATATTTGTATTTATGTTTAAAATTGAGGATATTTACCGGTTATAAGTGAATTTTTGCTCTTTACTAGTGCGCGAAAACTCATTTTATTTAAATACAGACACGTCAGGATACGTTGAAAGTGTAAGTCTAAGAACAAGGATACATGTAGATAACTAATAAAAAACAATAAAAAAATAACGTTGCCACGTTTTTGAGGCCTGAGGCTTTAACTATATAATCTAGACCGTATCGTTGTTACGGTGCACATAGTTAACATGACAAAAATAATTAAAACAAAGTTTTAAATTGTTCTTATAATCAAATATCTGGTAATTTTTTGTTCTTAAGTTCCTATTTACCCCATTTTACGGTTTGTGACAGTCAATGTCAAGAAAATGACAACGTCAAGAAAATGTCAATGTCAAGAAAATGTCAATGTCAAGTTGTCA